TATATATATATATATATAGTATCAATGTATTCTTTGAAGAAAAAAATTACCCTTTTTTTTCTTCCACTCACAACAGCCCTTTTGAACAATGGATCGTGACGGGAGCTAGCACCTTGAAGTTTTTATATATATATGTGCCTTTTTTTCTCTGCTTCGGACGTTGTGTGGCAAAGTGCTAACAGTTCGTTTTTTTTCTCGTGCTTGTGCTTTACTCTTTTTTCTTTTTCCTTTTTAGCAAAAAAAAAAAATTCACTCTCTCCTATTTTATTCCCTTTATAATTGCTTCAAGTCGTGTTCGGGGGTTTGACAGCGAATATACTGGGCAATGAAGAGAGAGAGAGAGAAAAAAAAGGAAGGGGAAAGAGAGAGTAATACTTACGTCATAGTAATGAACATTCTGTGGAGACATCATCTCGTACTATGTGACTCTTCGCAAACACGTTTTCGCCAGAGTTATGATTGTTCTTGTTGTTATTGTCTATAAAGAGCCCCTATGAGTTATTCGGCATGGCTTCTCAACAGAATCGGAAAGCAAATGAGGGCACCCATCAATCATCCGTCTACTGTTATTTATGCCCACACCTCTCTATGCACGCTGAAGGGGTACAGTGTCCCCCTATTAATAGAGAAAGTTTCTCCTCTTAACCACGGCCCTCCTGCTGCCTATCTTCTGCAAGCAATGGCTCCGCACAGTTTTGGGTAATAATAAAAGAAAACCACACAGTATAAATGAACCCAAGCACCCCCACGGTCAAAGAGGACAGTAAGAAGGTCACACACACACAGGGATTTGAGAGGCCTGAGGATTCAATGGGACACGGATCGCCGCACCAGATGCCACAATGTCGGTGATAACGCTCGGATCTCCAGCAATGGTGTTGTGTACAGCTACAACCTTGGCGGCGAGTGCAAGAATTGCCTTGTGGCGATGCGACGGGTCTTTTGGCTTTGTCCCTATCTTACCACGGAGTGTGCGGTCCCACAGCACCTGCATCACGTCCATGAGGTGTGGATTGGCGGCCACTGCAAGGCAGCTCTGCACCTGCTGTTGGCGCAACACAAGCCACGGGTGCGTTCGGGGTCCACCAATGCTCAGTATTGCGTCACGCACCTCTGCCATCAGCGGCACGTGGCGCCGCAGCGCCAAAAAGCAGCCTGGCATGCGATCCCGTGGCGGTAGCGCCTTCACCTGTACGTGCTTCACCACAATCGCAAGCGATGTAGCAGGAGGCGCGTTGGTCTTCCGCCGCAAGAAGAAGAAGCACCCCCCCGAGGAGGTAACACGCTTCCCATCCGCTGCGGGTGCGTTTCTGGGGGTAAGCAGACTGCCGCGCTGGACGGGGAGCGTGGTACTCTTCGCGTCACTGCACGCCATTGTTGTGTGACCCGCGCACCACGTGGCCGTCACTCCCGTCGCCTCATCCACGTCGTAGCAGGCCTCAATGTAAAGTTTATCCGCGGTCACCCCAGCGAAAAAGACACGATGGGTGTTATCGTGGCTGAAAGTCCACTTGTATCCACCCTTCTTGGATGGTTTCACCGCCAAGACTGGGACCACAACCGCCGGCATCCACTCATCACTCGCCACCTTCTTGGCGCTCACAAGGCAGTAACAACGCGCCCCGGCGGGCGCAGCCTCCGCAAGACGCAGCTTCTTAAGGCCTAACTCACAGTACACGTCGTTGGGGGTCAGTGCTTTCGTAGCCTCAAAGCCATGAGCGTCGGCAGAGGGTGTGGGTGCCCAGTCAACATTGTGCCGCAGCTGCTGCTGCATTGTTGTACCGGACCTCCCTTCCAAGCGATCGGGGAGTGTGTCGCGCAAAACAGGGTCCTCGCCGTTGCCAAAGTGGTATTCCTGCAAACGACGGTGAGCAGCCAGGCCCTCAAGCTGCAGCATAGGATTCAGCACAGTCTGAAAGGCGTTTTCGACGATAATAGATTTTGTGTTTGGGGCACCACCCGGTGCAAATGGCAAAAGCGCAGTGAGCAACGGGGTATAAAGAACGGCAGACGACAGATCTTCATTGACGACGCATGCTTCTATGGCGAGGCAAACATGAATAAGTGCCTCGAGCTGCATAATCACACTCCTCGCGGCATCATGTGTCGAAATCACCCTCGCAACAATGGCTTTCCCCACATAGATGTCACCCTTCCGCTCGTCCCAATAGACGTCTGTGTTCCCCGCACGCAAGACACCGCTGCAGACATCCACCACCTCCGTGTATATCTGCGTCTCAAGCACCGGTGGCTCCTGTCCCTCCACCATAGCAACAGGTGGCCCTGACGGAGGCACTCGCTGTGTAACACAGAGAAGCGGGAGGCGACTTTTCGGCGATGAAAGGTGGAGGCTCATTGTGACACTACCCGCAACCCGGTTAGCGATGCCGCAACGCCCCAGTAGTTCTAGCGCTATGCCCAGTGAAACTTCACCTGAGCAGAACCTGTCATGTGTCAAGAACATGGAAGTGAGACGCCGCACGAGGCACTGGTGTGCATATCTGTCCAGCAGTGCTAAAGTGAGATCGCGCTGCACTGGAAAAGCGAGACTTTTCATCACTGAGGCACACTCCTCCACTGTCTCAACGCCAGCCGCCTTGAGCGCGAACTTAATGCTCCTCTTTATGAAGTGCCCCGACGGTATATTTGCTTCAACTTTGATCGCCCCTTCTGGCGCTGCCTGCTCTTCTTCCTGCTTGACATTTGCGCTTGGTGTGTCCTTCTTACTGGTCTTTGCCTTCTTCACCTTCGAACCATTCTTTGATGTTGTTACTGCCGCCGCCGCCGCCGCCGCCGCCGACTTCTCTGCTTCCCTCCGAAGCACGTCGCTTTGCACCTCAGCGAGCCGGTCAAGGAACTGAGAGAATGTATCGTTCACAGAGCCACGGGGCACAAGACAGCTGCGCGGCAACTGGTGGATGCGTGGAGCCTCTTCGGGTGGTGTAGCTAGTACGATTAGCTCGCGTTCTTCTACCGATACCGTCTCCTGACCCATGCCTGTCGCTGTTGTGGTTCTGCTGGGGCCACCCACACTGGCCGTATATGCAGAAGTGACGTCGTCAAGAGGTGAATCACCAGAGCCGCACTGGGTGCCGGTGTCCCCCGTTATGAGGGATGTGGTTGTTGTTGTCGCCGAAACGCTGCTTGTGGGATGGCGCGGCGGCAGATCCTTTGTTGCCTTTCGGGTTAGGGAGGACGATGAAGACAGTGACGCACTCCTCGTATCTGACCCGCTCGTGGTCAAACTCATCTCTGATTCTCCCGACTCTGTGCTGGTGGTAGAGGAGTAGCGATGGGGCACGGACCCTGACCCGTCCTTTGAGCTGTACGAGTAAGAGTACGAGTAACTGTACGAGTCGCCGTCTGTTGATTTTTTTGTGGCATCTGTGCTGCCGCTTACTGTGGTCCCTGTCTGGGAGGAGCTTGTTTCCAGCTCGCGTCCGCCCCTCAGCGTCCTTGAGGTTGACGACGATGTCCGCCGATCCGTCGAGTAGCTGTAGCTGCCACTGCTCCCTGTAGCACTGGTGGCTGAGAAGCCAGTGCCGTAGGAGTCCGAAGTTGTACCGCTGTACGAGCTTTCACTCGCAGCGGTGACACTGCTTTCGCCTGTTGTCATCGTGCTCCCAGAATACGTGTATGACGAAGATGACTCCGATTCCTTAGCTTTACAGACACCCGCGCGCTTAGGCGGCTCCGTGAGGTCCTCGCTCGGCGTTGACTTTGAGCTGTAGCTGTAGCTCCCGCTACCGCTAGAGTCAGTGCTCCCCTCGCTCTCTCCTTCATCTTCCTCACTGTGACTGTAACTGTAGCTCCCGCTCCCGCTCTCACCCCCGCTCCCACTCACACTGTAACTCTCAGACGACTCACTAACAGAGCCGACAGATCTTGCGGCAGAAATATCTGCAGATCGCGCATATGCCACATTCGAGGGAGAGACTTGAGGAGATGGCTGTGGCACACGCGGTGGCAGTTGCAATTCCCATTTTTGTTGTTGTTGTTGCTTCGGTTGCGGTGAACGTGAAGATGGTGTTGCCAACATCTGCACCATATTCGACGTCTTTGACACTGTTTCACTTCCAGTGGACGATGTGGACCCGCTGTAGCTGTAGCTGTAGATATCGCTGCCCCCGGAGTACGATGCTGTCTTGCTGCCGGAACCCCCTTCACTACCTGAGTAGGAGGAGGCGCTGTACGATGATGATGTTGATGTTGACGGCGTACTCGCATCGGCGAAGGACGCGCGTCGCGACGTCCGAGACGAGGGCTGTTGCGGCCCTCGTGGATTTTGTTGCAGCATTTGGCTCTATGTGTGCGGTAATAAAGTTTGAACGACCAGAAGGACCCAACTGTGTCCAAACCCGAAGTAAAAGAATGAATCCCCCAATGTGTGAGTGGTATCTCTCTATTCAGGGCGCTCTTCTATCTGTGTGTATGCGTGTGCCTTGCAGAAGTGGCAACAGCCCCTGCGGCAGGGGGAGAGCAAAGAGAACAAGCGCAGCAGGAGTGCAACAGCCACGCACCAGAGTAAAAAAAAAAAAGACACGCACGGCAGTTCCACAGCGTCCTCACACACACACACACACCCCACACAGACATGAGCACGTCACTGAAGTATCCGATCTCTCCTCTCCCACGCCAAGACAGGTGAAAACAAACGGCGGCGCACCGCTTACACACGTCTCCGTTTTCGCCACATTTGGTCCCTAGCACCCGCCACGATTTCCCCGCCGCTCAGACCACAGCTGCAGCGGTCGGCGTGGGCCGCCACTCACACCCCCACACACGCATTGCAAATCTTCTCCTTCGCCACGCCCCTTCACATCATCACCTCTCCTCTTCGCCCGCTGCTGCCCGGCCACGCGCCCCTCCGCCCACGCCGCAGTGAGAGGCAGAAGAGAATACGAGAGAGAGAGAGAGAGA